AGTTATGCTCACATAGTATATAAAAAGGGTTACCTTATATATTACCTTATATAGAAAATGGTTAATATAAATCCATATCAATCTATGACAAATCAATAACAATTCTAGGAATATCTTTTAAGAATCAATGATAATCCATCAAAATTTATAAAATCTCAGAATTTTCAAAATCTACAAAATCCACATAAGTCCATCTACGAATAAGGCCCCTATATATTTTTTGAAGATCATAAATTAGTACTATTATAAATACTTTGCAAGATAATAAGATTGTGGTGTACATACACAACTTCGGAATAAAACTACAAAAAAATACTATCAGAAACCGGATTGCACCTGGGATATTTATGCAAAAAATATTCTAAAGGTATGCCCTTTATTATATTGACACTATATTGATCATTCAAGTTCGAACAATGATAATATACATGATTAGTTCATCGGGAAAAAATAATTCTCCAAAATCTTAGAACTGTTGAGGTAAACTACATATAAAAGTTACAAAAAATGTTGGAAATGAAACAGAAAATTATAAAATACTGTGGACGGAAAGATTATAAAGAAAGGCAAAAACTATAGCAAAAGTTCACTAAACGGTTAGAAAAAAAAGGTTAACAAATGGTAAAAGCATTGCCTTAATCTTATGAAGAGTAAAAAGCGTTTCAGAAAAACATAACTTATACTGTATAAAACTATTTTACAGAACATACTCCTACAAAACACAACATATATGTTCCTTTAAATAGTTAAACAAAAGGTTAGAATTATCAAGATTTACTCTCACGAACTCCTTGGGGAATAAACTCGTCTGGTTTCCAAAAATTAGTCTCAAGGTCTTTCATTAGCCGAGAAATGTATTTTTCCCTAACTGCTTTCTAAATCTTTATCTTCTTCCTCCAAAACGTCATGTTTGGTGTTTTTAATGTACAAAACAATTGTACACCAGTAATTTATGAATCAAAAGTAATTTCTGAATTAAATCCATCTAGAGTTTAACAAAATTGCTCTGGAATCAATTTATAAATAAGGTTGAATTCAACAAAAGTAACTCTTAAATTTTAAGTAGTTCGTGAACCAGTTAGAATATAGCCCGCGCAATGCAAACTGTTTACAATTTTGTTAAATAAAATGACAAAATAATTTTAATTAAATCTAGTATTTTTATATTTACAATTAACAAAACAAACAATATTTCATAGATATATTTGGATTGAAATGAAATTAATTGTTTCTCTTGTTTCTCAATCATTTCAGTATCGATAGATTTTATCTAAAAACAAATATGTTTGTTTGAGACTTTGT